TATACAATTTCAGCTTTTCAATCCTGATTAATAATTCCGGTCCGCAATGAAAAGTGAAATGAGCTATCTCTAATACAGAGGTGGATGGTTACTGGGGGTAGGATTCACTTTATTATTACTGAATACACAGGCTATTATGAGTGCTGCAATCCATCAGTTATCACGCAGGATATCCAGAAACAAAATACTTGTTACATAGAACGATATGAGTAGTGATAAGTTGGTCATCACTCAGATATCTCCAGACTTGTTGAACTCTTCAACTTCCATACTCAAGCCTCTCGCCTGACCCCTCCTCCGAATACACAATACACCTGTGTCATTAATCAAAGCTGGTTGCCAAATAATGGTATGTGTATTGTAAAACCGAATAGACTGCAGATTCTGTCCATTCGTTACCTCTGAATCCAGGGGTCTTTAAAGTGAGCTAGCTTGAGTAGACTGACTGACGAGGCTGGTCATATGCGTACAATATATTCTTTCAGAATTGATAATTTCCGCTTGTCCGGGGCTCAAATTCAAGATCCTAATAGTGGAGGTGTACCAGGTTCATCATCGAGGTGAAGCCTTTACACACTGGGAAAGGACGAAGGGTAAAGGTGAAGTCTTTCTTATCGGTTGGATTGCCGTCAACAGCAGCTTAGGTATGATACAGCTCCAGATCCCGATCACTGTCCAGAAGGGAACCAACAACAAATGACATTTGTTTATTACTCCGGTATATTTGCTGACCAAATACAGACCCTATGCACAAGAGGACACGTTAAACAGCCAGCTCACCTAACTCATTTGGTTGAGCGAAAGCTGCTATATAGTTGAACTGACTGAAATTGACCACGTAGCAGTAAGCTACCGTTGACATGGCGGAATAAAAATTTGCATATCCCATTGAACCACCTACATTCAGTTAGATCACGCATATTTTTTGATTTTATTTGTCGCGCAAGACAGCAATGAAATCGGGTTGTCCCTCATTAGGTTTCTAATTCAGCTGTTTGTACCCACTGTGAAGTTGAACCTTGTAGGTAAGAACCTTGCAGCGTGGCGACGTAAATGGAAAGTTGGTTTAGTTTAGATTTGCACGGCACTCACCAACGAGCATTACTTCTGTATTTGGGTCTGAAACCCATCTGAAAAATTGGCTGTTTTAGGATTCATCAGGCCTGTTGGTGACGTGTGCAATATCATTTCACGCAGAGTCTGAAGAAGGACCGGGAAAACTAGTGGGCAAAGTAGCTGGTGAAATGAAGGTGGCCGCTGCATCAAGAATAGTGAAAGGCTGTTTAAAGGGGTGTATAACAAAAATGGTCAATAAATCTCATTTTGGAAATTGGCTCTCGACGAAAGTGAAAAAGCCTTAAACGATTGAAGAAAAGGCCTTGAGTGCTCGGCAATGTAACCTAACGAGGAAATTAGTCGGTCAGTCACTATCCAGACAATTTTAACTCCGTCTTGTGTGCACCATCGTATGATACGAATTTTTTTGGCTATGTACCCCAAGAATCACGCTCTTCTGCTGCTCGGCTGTCCAAACCGAATTTTCTGTGACATTTATACTAGAAAAGGTGATCAGTCTTGCGCGTATTCCCCTCATAGTGATACCATTTTGAAGAAAATTCAACGCTCTGTCGAACGAGCCTTTATTCGTCGCTCTATATTGGTTCTCATGATAGCTACGGATATAGTTTGTGTATTTTGATTCTGTGCCGTTCCCCATCACGCGTGTACGTGTCCGGTTCGCCGTCTTCGTCACCGCGATCCATACTTACAATTAGCCCTAGTCA